CATTGCAGGGTTCACCCCAATGCCCTTCCCAACCCACCATGCCCTGGCACCTGATTCTGCCCCTGGGCCTGACCTGAGAGCTGCTGTGTAGCTGCTCTGCAGTGTGGGACTAGGCAGTATTGGGAATAGTTTCCATGAAACTTGGCACCTCTGGGTCCCTGGACCCACTCTTGCCTTTCCCAGAACAATGCTAGGGTGCTGTAAGGGAGATGTGCCTGCTGGTGTCTCATGCTGCACCTGGGATGGGAACAAGTGCACTGATGGAGGAGGGGGCTGGGGTGTGCATCATGAGGCTTTGTGGAGGTGGGGGGCAGATAGCGTGTATATGTGGTTGAGGACAGGAAGATGCCTGGAGATTGTATGCCTGATGGTGATTGTCTGTGGGTGTCCATGCGAAGGAAGGTGTGTATTAGGAGTCTTGGGTGAGGGCAATCGTGTCTGTGTGAGATGGAGATAAATTCTGGGTGTGTGGGTGAGGAGGATGGTGCATGTGAGGGTTGGAGGATGAGGAGGACTGTGTATGCAAAGAGGTGTGTGTGTGCGCCTGCATTAATGAAAGGGAATTATATGGGGTCTGTATGCTGTGTGGTTGTTTTGACCTTGAGGGTTTGTTTGTTTGGATTTAGCTGTTTGAAAGAAACAGAAAAGCCAATAATTAGATTAAAACTGTGCCGACTTCCCTGTTTGTTTCTTGTTTAAGGTTGCAGGATGAGATTAATCTGCGGCTGGAAGCTGAAAACAATTTGTCTTCCTACAGACAGGTGAGGGGAGCATTGCCTCCTGCCAGACAGGCCCAAAACTGGGTACTGTGGGGCCCCACACATTGCAGGATTGGACACTTAACCCTAGAGACCAGAGTGTCTTGGCTGGAGAAGCCTGGGCCTGGGTGGCAATCAGAGTTGGGTCAAGACTGGGACTCAAGATGGCAGGCAGGTTCAAGGGACAGGCAAGCCCAGCATCCAAAAGTATGACTCCACCTGCTGAGCTCCTTCCTCCCAAGAGGGCAACTAACTTGGTCTGAAATCCCCCCACCCAACATCTTTGTCCCTCAAAGGCAGTATCACACCACCTTGGAGCGAGGGGGAAGCCTTCAAGGTTGTGCGCACAGCAGAAGCGACATACTTGGGCTCCTGAGACAAGGTGCCACTCTGTCCCACTCGGTCAACAGTTCCAGCCACAGAGTGGAGGCCACTGATGTCCTGCTCATCTGACCTCTAGCGCTATAAGAATAGAGGAGAAGGCAGGAAAATGCAGGCATACAGCACAGCCAGGCTTGGCCAGCTGATGTCCTATCTGTGTCACTGGACTTAGAAGGAACAAGGTCATCTGCAGCTCCCCCCACATGCAGTCCAGCACTTCAGGGACACAGCATTTGGCCCTGCAGGAGGGCAGAAACTCTTTTGGCTGTCTCCTCATGCCCTTCCAGAGGAGGTAGCTGTACTGTGGGAGCTGGGTTCAGTAATGCCAGGCCACTGAACCTGGGCACGCCCTGCTGGGCCACTGTTCCTCTAGGTTTTGGAAGCAGGTAAGATTCAGACCAGGAGGCAAAGAGCTAACTTTTATCGGTGACTAGCTTGGTGGAGTCAGACCCAAGTAAGCAAGGTAAAGACCTTTGCTGTCACATGTAACTGAACTGATGTGGCCTATAAAGAAGTGCAAAAGAAAGACTGGACCTTGCTTGACACTGGTTGAACCAGGTGGTGTCTCTCCCTTCATCTCCCCTGCTTCTCCCCTGCCAGGATGTTGATGATGCTGCATTAGCTCGCTTGGACCTGGAGCGGAAAGTTGAGTCCCTGCAGGAGGAGATTAACTTCCTGAGGAAAGTCCATGATGAGGTAACATGGTAGATCTGCTTTCCCAGCCTGCACAGCTCCTGGGCATAGAATGGACCTACACACATCTGTCCTTGCTCACTGCAAGTGGTCTGGGGGGTGGGGAGGGGCTCTTCACTTTCCTTGTATTCTGGGAGCTTTGCCTCTCACCAGGGGCAGATCTTGGGTGGGGTGCAGTTGTGCAGTTCACTCCACCCAAACGTTAAAACCAACTGCCTGGGAATGGCACCAGCATTTCTATTCAGGCAGTGCTGAGAAAGTCAGCTGACTTCATGACTCACTATCATCTCCCTGATTCCTGCTGCTCTCTTTCTACTCCACAGGTGTTAATAACCCTCTCCCCTTTTTACTGATCTTGATGTTCCACTATTCAAACTATCCTTTCTTCTGCAATTCTGCTGTCTGTTAGCCATTCCTGGTAATATCTCTCTTCTTTTTCACAGCCCTGCCAACCATTTTTAGCTCAAGCTGAAAACCTAACTCAGGTGTGGTAAAATTAACTCTGGTGTAGAAATGACTGACAGTGGAATACTGCAGGTGCTGTTAAGACACTCAGGAAGGCTAGATTTTGTTTTATGAATCTGAATAAGAGTCATACATTTAACTATAATGACTACAGGACTAATGATACAATGTCTTTTGACTATTTTGACTATAGTTTGTTGTGTTATTTAAACTTTATGTATAATCTATTACATTAGTGCACATTCCAATAGTTATATTTGTTTTTGCTTTGATCTTAAACTGAATAATATAGTGCTAACTCCCTGTCATATTAGGAAGACTTCTAGTTTCTCTTTAACTGGAGAAAAATGTATTGTGTATATGCAATGACGCACCACATCACCTGCACCTCCATTTTCAAAATCCTATATCTGTCCATGCCTTTCACCCCTTCCCTCCCTTGGCTCCTTTTGTGCCAACTGTGTTCCACCATGGCCTGTTTATTCTGACAGGAAGAGTAAGAAGTAGAAGAAAAACTTTGACCCAGAGGTGACATGTCAATTTTGCATTAGCAAACAGTTGTCACGGAGCCTAAGTCGATATTACCTAGACACCAACAGCACCCAGGGAGGCAAATGTTCATACAAGGACACCCTATGACATATATCCCTTCCTTTTAGAATGAGCAATACCAACGCTTATCTTAAAACCAGGCACTGCTGGTTGACTTCTGTTGCCTTATACAAGCACCATAAACAGAGAGTTGAATGAGTCTTCTGAAGAAGCCCCAGAAACAGTGTCATACCGTACAGTGACCAACGGAGCATGTTGCAGAAGAGCTGTGACTGGAACCCTCTCCCCTACAGGCAGCTCCTTCCAACCCCGTGGCCACTAAGGCTGTAGCAATACCCCCACCCCATGTAGGAGCATCTCAGTGCAGGTCTCTTTGCCCATCTGCCAGCCATATGAGTATGGCCAAGCCCTGTTCCTCACCTCCAACCTTCATTGCTTGTATCTTTTCAGGAGCTGCGAGAGCTCCATGAGCAGCTGGCCCAGCACCAGGTGCACATTGAGATGGACATGACAAAGCCGGACCTGACTGCTGCACTGCGGGAGATTCGCATTCAGTACGAGTCCATGGCCACCAACAACATGCACGAGACAGAGGAGTGGTACAAGTCCAAGGTAACATTGCCCAAGGTGAAGGCCATCTGATCTCAGGGGTTGCTCGGGAAGCACTGGTGAGCTGTGTATGCACAGGATGCTGATGACGTCTATCTGTTCCCCGTTCTGCAACCAGCCAACCACTGTCCACCTGGCAGGTGCTGCATTGCAGATGCCTCCAGGCTGGTGCCATCTTTGCCACATGCTGCCAGACAAGTCACCAGACAGCCTGGACAGGAGATGAACACGGACAGTGCTGGACAGTGTTAGCTATGCAGCAGGCCTTTTCTAGCAGGGTCTTAAAGGCCTCCACCAGCTCACAGCAATGTTCCATGGCTGTCTCTGCCCCTCCTGTCTCCAGGATTACTGTGCCCTTTTTACAGGCAGGGAAGGTGAGGAGCAGCAGATAGGTGGAGGCAGGATGGGAATAGAGCCCCAGAGTCCTGGCTCCCCATCTTGCATGTCCTTCCCAGGGCTAGGACTGGAACCCGCGGTTGCAGGTTGTCGGTGTTCAAACATTCCTCTTCCCCAGCTCCGTTCCTGCTCCTCGCTCCCACAGCACCAAGCCCCTTCACATACTCACTTCCCCAGGAGGCAGTCCCCTAGCTTTTTGTGCCATATGTGCTAACACCTCTCTCCCAGTTTGCAGACCTGACGGATGCTGCTGCTCGCAACATCGAAGCACTGCGCCTGGCCAAGCAAGAAGCAAACGAGTACCGGCGCCAGCTCCAGGCCCTCACCTGCGACCTGGAGTCCCTGAGGGGGTCGGTAGGTGAGGGTGTTGGGGCGGGAGAAGCGGCAGTGAGATAGGGCTCTGGACCCTTGCTTGGGGCAGGTTTACTTGTGCTGGCAATGGAGGTGCCTTCCATTAGCATCTCCCCATAGTGAACAACAACTGTCACATAACCCAGCTCTGGGTTATGGTTATCAATTCTCTTTAGTCTCAAGTGAACCCAATCACATTAACTTTCTCTTCCTCTGTGGGCTATGATGGCTCCATCCCAGGCAGGCCCAGAGGGGAGGGAGAACCCAGCAGAAGTCAAATAACATTGTGCTTCATTGTGGCCCTGTCATCTGCAGAGAGGGAGGCTGCCAAGCCAGAGGCCCAGGGCTCCACTCCAGGAGGTTTGAGGCAGGAGGGTTCCAGCATTGGACATAAGGTGCATGGACATAAGGTGTGGGACTGGACTAGATGGACCAGTGGCCTAAGCCAGCCTCTCAGTAACAGCACTGCAGTTTGACAATGTCCCTGGGGATCCTGTAACCCTAATGGGCTTGGTCCATGACACCATGATTTCTAGAGAGTGAAGGGGTTAGTATATCCTTGCTTTCCCCCTCGCCTCTCAGAATGAATCCCTGGAGAGGCAGCTGCGGGAGATGGAGGACCGCTATGCCATTGAGACAGCCAGTTACCAGGACACAGTCATTCGGCTGGAGGAAGACATCCGGAGCCTCAAGGAGGAGATGGCCCGGCACCTCCAGGAGTACCAGGACCTGCTCAATGTCAAGCTGGCCTTGGACATTGAGATTGCCACCTACCGCAGGCTCCTGGAGGGAGAGGAGAGCAGGTGAGCCTCCCCAGATGGATGGAAAGAGGAGCATGATGCCCTGGAAGGGCTGTGCTTCCTCATGGTGCTGATAGTCCTATTCCCAGCACCTCCCACCCCTAAGGATGCCTTCTCTGGGTGTCCACAGGTGCCATTTTCCCTCAGTGTGGGGGGTCTCTCCAAGGTTTCCCACATTGGCAGGGTAGGGCAGGGATATTATAGTTTCATAGTTTCTAGGGTCGGAAGGGACCTGAGCAGATCATCTAGTCTGACCCCCTGCCATGGCAGGAAGAGCACTGGGGTCAAATGACCCCAGTAAGGTGGTCATCCAACCTCCTCTTAAAAACCCCCAGGGTGGGAGCCTGCACCACCTCACTTGGAAGCTGGTTCCAGACCCTAGCCGCCCTGACCGTGAAATAGCGCCTCCTGATGTCCAAATATTCATTCTTTCCTTTTGGGGAAGGGGTGTTCCATCTGCTGCCCATGTTCAGACTGTTCTTTGGATACACAGCCAGCCTCTGCCTTCCCCACACTGTGACCAGCCCTAAAACATGTCAGTTAACAGGTGCTGCAGTTCATGGCAGCAATGAGGGCCAGGCATGAGATGCTTTGCCCCCAAAACCAGGGGCCAAACTCCTGTCAAGTTTGAGGAAAGTCCAGATTTGGAGCCAAACATGGCATTTGGGACCCACTGAGGCCAACTGATCCATGCAATAGGCACTGAATGAGCCCAAATCTGCTCTCAGCTACACCCACGCAGTCCCACTGACTCCCACAGGGTGAGTGAGAGCAGAGGATTAGTCATGGGACCAGAGCATATCTCCAGCCACTCTGCTGTCCCAGAGCTCACTGAAGCCTTGGATTTCCATGGGGGTACGCTGCAAGGGCTGCTGTCATAAAAACCTGTCTTGAGGCCCATATGACACCCCGCGCTCCCCCACTTTGTCTCCACAGGATCACAATCCCCGTGCAGACTTTCTCCAACTTGCAGATCCGAGGTCAGGACACTGTATGTCTCCTTTGGGGATGGGGATGTGTGGGCTGGTGAGATGTGGCACCTTTCCCATATTGCTACGAAGTCCAGTGGCCCTGAAGCTTTATCCTAATAAGAAGGTGCAGCACTGGCATGAGCAAACATTGACCATCAGCCTGGAGACAGCGGACTGGGAGTGTGGGGGGAGCTGGGTAACTGATGTATTACAACTAGTGGCATTTGTAGCTCTGGGCACTATGATGGAGACCATCGAGATTTCTTTGTCATCTGTCAGGGAGACAGATGGTCTGGGGGAGCCTGGCTTTTTCCCATGTGCCAAAAGTTGGTGCTTGGGTAAGGAGTTGGCTTATGGTGAAGGTCAGGAGGGGGGCGTTTGGCCTGCTCTGCATGGCAAACCATGACTAAACTCTGTGCTAACCCCCAGAGACTAGCCTGGATACCAAGTCCATGTCTGAGGCTCAACTGAAGAGGAACATCATGGTCAAAACCGTAGAGACCAGAGATGGAGAGGTAAGGAGATGGCCTCACCTCCCTGCTGTCATCCATCTGCTTCCCCTCCTGCTGGAGCCCCCTGATTCTGCTGCACTCCACTCCACTGCTGTTGGGACTTAGAAATGTTCACCTCTCCCAAGTAATAGGTCTTACTGGGGGACAGTTCCTGAGGAGGCAACTGAATGCTGTGACATGCAGCTGTGCATTCCTCAGGGTGGGGAAATTCTCCACAGAGAGGAGCAGCCACTTTTGGTTCTGCTGGTACAACTCACCACTTGCCAGCTGCACTGGCTGTGGGACTAATCCCTCATGTGCACCAGGAGCCCAGAAAGGCCAGCGTCCCACAGGGAAGGCACTGAGGAGGGAGAACTTTGTGGGAGAACAGCAGATGAGGAATGTTTTGGAGGGATGGGCACAGAAAATAGGCAGTTTCAATGGAACATGTCAGTGCCAGTGAAACTTCCCAGCAAGAAGAAGTAAAACCGGATAATGCTAATTCCCCATTCCATTTTGACTCTGTGTACCATGGTTAGTTCTTTAATCTAATCAAAAAACTTAAACAGAATGAATCCAGACAAGAAAAGTGATACAATATGCTTTAGTGTTACCAAACCAAAATGATCCAACAGCAATGACCTTACCCACCTGTATGGGTCTGACTCTAGATGCCTGAGAATTCCCGTTTCATGGGAAATTTTGCTTTTTCTTTCAATCTGGAAATCATTTTTTCTTTTTTTAATATCCAGCTTGCCCACTGGGCAGACATTCTGGCTCCCAGCTGGCTCTGTGTTGGGGTGATGGCCCCAGAATAGGGATCGGGGGGTCTGGGTTCTGGGCTAGTCAGTGAACTTGTTTGTGCCTGTCTTTGGCCTCAAGTTTTCCATCTGTAAACCGGAGTGAATGAGCCTGTCTCCCCTCTCCATGTAACTTGTCTGTCCAGACCATGTCTACAGTGGCAGTCCTTTACTGGGACAGAAATACTGGGGCACTGCAGCAGCAAAGCACTCTTGGTGAGGATGCAGCCATATTGGCATAGCAGTAGGGTAAACCTGCCCACCAAGAAAGAGACAAGCCATCCCCATGACAGTGCAGTGCTGATGATATAACTGCAAGGGCCTTTGGTGGCACCACCTTGTCAGTAGACGAACCTGCCTCGTCCCAGCCCTGACCATCAGGTGGTACCTGCAGGTGGCAGCTGGGTAGGGCTGGGGTTGTGAGCCCCACAAGACAGGTCTCTGACTATATGCTCATGTACCAGCCTGGGAACACAGGAAGAGGAGATAATGGTATTGAATCTGGAAAGACAGACAGAGTTGGGAGGTTCAGGGAAAAGTCCCACAGAGATTTTAGTTCCCACGTGCCGATCAAAACGACAAACCATCTTCTTCCCAGTGCTGCATCTTGGAAGAGTAAAGGGTTCCCTATTTTGGGTCCCACTTTGAGGCGGCCTCCGGAAATGGGCAATGCCTGGCTGGTGCATGGGCAGAGTTGGGGGGTTGGAGAGCCAGGGCTGGAAGGGCAGGACAGGACCAAAGTGTTTTGTGGCCCAAACTGGTGAGTCAGCGGGAGGTGTTTTGTCAGAGCGGCATGGGAGATGCTTGCACAGCACCTGTGAGCTCTATTCCTGGCCATTGGCCCCTCACTCTGGCTTGCACACTGAGGGAGGGAGATTCACAGCATCCCGCTGAAACCAGGCACCTGTCAGGAGGTTTTGTTAATTATGCACACACAAAGGATCCCAGTGGGAGCTCCACTGAGTGACTACACAGTGCCCTCTGCGGGGCTGAGCACAACACACCATGCTGCCCTATTCTTTCTTCATGCTCATGATGGCTGCTGACAGCCTGATTGCTGGTCCCTGCATATGACAGGGACTTTCAATGTGGGGCTGATGACTCTGCAGGACTCTCTCATGACACCTTTCTAAAGCCTGCAGCAGGGGGATGAAGTAAAGCAGCTGTTTGCCAACACTGGTCCAGCTCTGGGGACATGAGCTGCCCAGATCCTCCCAGCTTTTTCCAGTGGGAGTGTCTTGGATCTGGAAGATTCCTGTCCTGCAGACTGGGACTGCACTTTGTGTCACAGACACCCTGTGCTGCAGGGCAGATAGGCTCCCGCCTTGAGCTGTCCCCACCACTGGCCTGTGGGGACTGTGGGGCTGGGGTGAGGACCCTGGTACTGAATTTTTCAAGCCCAGGGGCTATTTCAGGACAGGCTAGAACACAGTGAGCATGTAAAGAGGTATGGATGGGCAGCGCTGTAGCTGAATAACTTTTGCTTGCTCCTAGCTTCATAGGGCAGTCATGGGCACAAATTAAGGCTGCTAGAGCCTGGGAGTTGCCAAACAGAGGAAGCCTAAGCTCCTCCAGCCTGTCTGGGTGCCAGTCTTCACCCCACATGGGCTAACCCCTGCTCCCCACCCCTGGCAGCAGTGTGCCTATGGTAGGGACCTGTCCCTCCAGGGGAGCATGGGTATCCTCAGCCAGCCCTGACCCCCAAGAGAGCCTTATCCCTCTGAGGAGGACAGCAGCGGGACTGGCACAAGAGGTAACTGTCCTTCTCTTCTCTGTCTGCCTCCAGGTGATCAAGGAGTCCACCCAGGAGCACAAGGAGTGAGGCAGGCGGTGCTGGAGGGTGACACTAACAAAAGAAGCTTGTAGCTGTAGATCCTAGCAGCAGTAGACCCTAGCTGGCACTCCATCCCTCCAGTGTGGCAATGTGAGGGCATGGCTGCTCCAGTCACCCCTGAAGCCCACAGCTGGCTCGGCCACCACATGGAGGAGCAGGTGTCACCAACTGGAAGAGCTACAGCAACCAATTCCCACCACCCCCCCCTTTAGATCTGCTGCTGACGGTCACTGTGCAGGCAGGCTAGTGCTTCGGCCTGTGTGGGAACAAGTGATGTCCATCATCACCTTCTCTCCCAGTTCTCACCCTCAGCTTCATTCTATTATCCTGCCCCATCGGAGTTAGCTGCCCACAAGATGCTGTGTCCCCACCAGGTAGGGTAGGTCTAGCTGGCAGTCCCCTAGCCATAGGGCTGCACTATGTTCCCTTGCCCTAAATCCACTAATACGATAGTTCTCTTATTGCAGTAGCTTTGCAGGAGGCTGCTGGGGAGGGGAGAGGAAGGGAGAACAGGGGGAGGCAGAGCAACCAAACACCCCAGTCCTGCCCAGAGGGAAAGGCCAAAATCTGTGGCCTGGTGACTGCAGAATCCGCCCCTGGAGTTGAAAGGGGTTTGGCTATATGCTCTGTGCAGGAGAGGATAACCCAGTATTTGGCCCTCCTGATTGCCTGGGACACTACCACAGGTCTAGAAGCGGGGTGGTGCTGGAGAGAGCAGCTGTCTTGTAGCTCAACCTGCAACCCTTGCACACACCCCCAGCCATCCCTACTCCACTGCTATCTGGCCTTCTGCAGGTCAGACAGAAAGGCTTCACTGCAGGGGGATGCTGCTGCCCCTCCTGCAGTGCCCCATGGCCCAAAGGCATAGGGCTTCTGTTCCTGGCACCTTGGAGTAGGGTCAGTATAGCTCTGTGAAGCAGGCTCTGTCCCCTCCTTTCCCCTCCAGTGCACAAGAGGCAGGATAGGAATAGCCCACTGAGTTACACCCCCGCCTTTGCAAAGGCAGCAGTACTGTACTCAGTGCCCTGGTCCACCTAGGAGCCTGGGCTATGCTCTTGTCCAGTAGAATGGAACTGGTGAGTCTGGAAACAGGAGAGCAGGGGCCCTGGAGCCCTAGTGAGGTTTGTCTGCATGCCCATGTCCATCTTGTTGGTCTGCCAGACATATGTGCCTTGGAGATCCAATTTACCCTTGGGGAGAGGGGAGGACAGAGCCTCACAGGCACCTTTCTGCTGCTGTCAGGATATCATGAGGCCCCAGCAAGGACATCAGGGTAATGATCACAGAGGGAGGGCACGCAGCTGCTTTCCTGTACTGGGGGTTTGCCAGAGGAGGATGCGAGCACGAGTGTGAGCAGCAGGGCCCCAAGGAGAGGGGTTGTGCATAGTATCTCCTCTGTCTCGTGGTCAGGGTTCCCAGTACCCCACACTGACGTAGCACTGAGTAGTGCCTGCTGTCAGGGCCCTTAGAGTAGCACAGCTCAGTGCCCAGGCTGCAAGTTGGGTGATCTGTATTCTGCCCCCTGCTGTGCTGCAAGCCATGGGCCACATCTGGGTCCTGGCTCTTGCTGGAGTTGGTGGGAGTCTCCCTATGAGAGCAGGTCCTTAATTCTCTGTGCCTCAGTTTCTCCCTTGCATTGGAGTGACATTTACCTCCTGTGCAAGTGGCTGAGCTCATTCATATTGAGGGTGGGGTGGGGAGCCTCTGGGCACCTTGGAGGGACAGCTTTAGCTGATTCTCTCTGGGAGGGAAAACTCAGGGTTCTGCACTGAACCCGACTGCAGATCTGAGGAGCACCTGAGATCCTGGAACCCAGAGGGTCCCATTGCCATCAAAGGTGCTGCGAAATAGGCCTATCCTAAAGGAGTACAGGCAGCAGAATCCGGTCTTGCACCAAGCAGCCCTCTCTGGGGTTTGCACTGGAGCAAAGCTGCTTGTCTCTGCTTGCCCTGAAGTTCAGGGCAGTAGTGTGTGCTGCTACACAGGCTGCTGCATTCTGCCCAGGAGATGGCTGGATGGCAGCACTGGGTGGACAGAGTGTAGTAATGCTAGGCATGTGCTGTGGTTCTTAGGGTTGTAGAGTCAAGTAGTCAGCTGATCAGGAACCAGTGCTTTTTCCCTCAGCTGGATGGTGTCTAACGCAAGTGAAAATGAAGAAGGTGGAGAGAAAGGGAATGAAGGGCCAAGAGTGGAGGAGGATGGGGCTGGCCCCATCTGGGAGCCTGATCATGTAGTCAGGTGCACAAGAGGCCTCCTTGAGACCAAGCTATGCTTGGGAAGAAAGAGACCTCCATTATTAAAACAGGAGCCATGAGGATGGTTCCCTGGCTTGGTGTCCTGGCACACAGGTGTTACCATCCCAGCTGGGGAGCCATGTCCCTTGGAACCTACCCTAGGCCCGTCATCTAGGTGCAGATATTGTGCCCATCTCCATGCTGTCCCAGTCTCAGGTAGGGATGAGCGGGGGGAGAGGGCAACCTGATCCTGGGCAGTATGGAGCTGCCTGTGTTCCCAGTGACTTCGGTGCACTTGGCACCTTGGCAGGAGCAAGCTCAGAGCAAGCTCATGGTCTATGTATGTTAAATTATGAAGGGGAGATTTGGCCTGAGCCCGTTGCTACTGGGCCTCTGCAGCACATGCTAGAGCATGCAGGCTCAGACCAGAGCCTTGGCTAGGGTGGCCAGCCTTGCTCCACAAGTGTGCTTGGTACTTTGGAGTCAGACTTGGCTGTAACTTATCAAATCGGCATGGGACGCTCTCTTTGCTCCATCTCTTGGAGTGTGTCTGCCCTCTCATGGCCCTGGGTTTTTCTGTCTGCCAAGCTGCTGGGGATCCCACCCTTGCCCCTGCCCCTGCCCTGAGCACTGTTTTCTTTAGGAGCCAGAAGGCAGTGACTGCTTGTTTCAAGGTTTTCTTTGAGCAGTCAGTGACAAGGTAGCGTGATGCCCATGCACACTGCACCTGTAGCTCACTCATCCTGGGGCCTGCATGTGTTTTATGGTCTTGCAGCCTCCTTGGCAGGCAGGTGGGTGTTTTTATCCCCACCTTATCATGGGGGAAACTGAGGCACAGAATTGCCCAACAGCACGCAGCAAGATGTCAGCAGGTGGTAACAGAATCTAGCTCTCCTGGTTCCCAGGCCCATGCTTTGAATCCCAAGCAATTTGTCCCTTTGGAGTTCACCAAAAGGGAACTCCAAGGGGTGTTCTTTGTGTGCCTAGATGGGACATCCTGGTCTGGAGCCCTTGCCTTCAGGATGGTACATTTAAATCATGACTCTCATCCTATTGGAAGGAGAGGGAGAGACCAGAAGCAATGAGCTGCAGAGCTTGGCAGCCCTGGCTGTTTCCCTGATGCCTGAGGTCTGCTTAGGGCCCGGGTTAAGGGACAGCATTGGTAGGAGAGGGCTTGCTGGTGGCCATCTGTGGTGCACCTTGTTTGCACAAAGCTCTCCCTAGTCTCTGGGAAGATGCAGATTTGCTACTGAGCAGTCTCCTGCTGGAGTGTTTGCAGCACATGTCACTCCTGAATTAATACATTAATGTCAGCAGCCAAAGCATGAGAAAAGAAATAAAGCTAAAGCAAGCACCCTGGTCTCACTGGTCATATGACTGCAACATGCACCTCACTTGGGATCTGGGGGAGAGCCCTTGTCAGGGCTCTCAAAAAGCAGGGGGTAGTTGGCCTACAAGGCCCTTGCATGGGCAGCTCTTGGACAGGTTCCACTTGCCAGTGCCCCTCAGTCCCAGCTGACATCCCCCAGCTATTCCATGGCCCCTGAGCTAGGCAAATGCCTCTGATTTCCACCCCAGAATCACACTGCTACGTCAGTCCTAGGAGCCCACACAGGGCTAGGGTCAGTATCGGGATTCCTACGGCTCCTACCACTAGTTCTGGGACTAGTGGGGCTCTCCAGGTTATGGTTAAGATTCCGGCTGGTGAGTCTTTTGGGAATGGGGTACAGGCAGAGGCTGATAGGGCTAGGGTTGGGCTTGTCAGGCTTCCTAGGTGGTGGGGATCCTCCCTTGCAAATCCAGCAGCTGGTGAAGAACGAAGGATGGCAAAGGGCTCTTGCATCACCCAGTGCAAGGTCACTGCACCATGTTGCTGTGATCCTCTCTAGGCAGTGCTCCCATCCCAACCAACAAGCACTGCTGTGTTACTACAAGGTAGTTGTGCAAAAATAGCACTGAGGGCTCCCACCAGGATCAGAGCCCTGTGTGAAAATCACTGCACATAGGGAGAGTGAGAGCACAACAGCCCTGCCATGGGCAGCAAACTGCCTGAACAGACCTGTCAGACACATACCAGAGGTGTGGGGATTTACCCGTGGCTGCAGTGGCAGCTGGGCCAGCACCCAGGGCACCCAATGCCCAGCCAGATGAATTGTGCTATCTCAGACCCTAGACAATGGCCTAGATGGAATGATTCAACCACAACAAAAGTCCTTCTGGCAGCTGATAGCTTATAATCCAGGTGTGGAGCTGGCCTCTGCAGTTTCTCCCTCTGCTTCCTCCCCATCATCTCCTACAAAGGACAGTAGCCTGAAAACTACCCAAGTTAGAGTGCCACAACTCATGGCCACCAACTGCTTCTTCCGTCCCTTGAGTCACCTCAGGGTACAGTCCAAAGGGTTTACACCCTGTTCCCAGGGTAAACCTCCTCTTCCCAATGCCCCAGCTTCCCAATCACAGCTAGGGTGGTGTATTGTGCTGCTGGCTATTCATACCCTGACCTCCATTACCAGAGCTTACCTTTGCAGGGGCTGCACTGCAGTGCCAAAGGCTGCGCCTTTCAGCTTCTGGGCCTGGAAGCAATCTGAGATAGCGGACCACCCTGAAGCTCATCACATCCTCAGTAAGGACCAGAACTGCCACCTCCCTGCTGGGCCCCCTTTGGGCCCTGGGGGAGGCTCACCTGGGCCTAGGGTGAGTGAGGATTTAGTTAGGGAGCTTCTGGAAGGGCTGGACGTTTTTAAGTCAGCCAGCCCGGATGATCTTCACCCTGGAGTCCTGAAGGAACTCGCTGGGGTCATTGCAAGTCCCCTGGCATGGCTTTATGAACACTCGTGGTGCTCTGGAGAGGTGCCGGAGGACTGGAAGAGGGCCAACATGGTTCCCATCTTCAAAAAGGGGAGGAAAGAGGATCCGGGGAACTACAGGCCAGTCAGGCTTACCTCGATCCTGGGCAAGCTGTTCGAGAAAATTATTCTGGCACACATCCAGGAGGGGCCAGCAGGGAACTGCATGC